TTTTTTTTTTTACCGAGAATCGATTCCAACCATATAAACGAGTACAAATGCACTTGTTTGGTCATAAGAGAGTGCGCTGACCACTCGGATGTTTAAATTTTCTGCTTCAGTGATTTTGTGACCAACTGGTACAAAATCATGTGTTTTTCCTGTCTCGTGATTGGTGTGAATTAATCAGGTTCAACATATGGTGATAAATTAAGCCTTTTTTTTTTTTGCTTTTTCTTTTACTTTTTTCCATCCCATATAGCATACATGCTCTCAGACGCGTCATGGACATCTTTCCCTCAGTTCTCACAAACATGTTTTTGTCATAAACCACTCCCATAAATTTTCTGCAGCCTGTCCACCCTGACCTTATTACTTACTATGTCACCTCTATGCCACTCAGCTTGTCACCTCTGTGTCACTCAGAGTGTTGCAAGGCTTGTCACCTCTGTGTCACCTCTGTGCCACACAGAGTGTTGCAAGGTTTGTCACCTCTGTGCCACACAGAGCGTTGCAAGGCTTGTCACCTCTGTGTCACCTCTGTGCCACTCAGAGCGTTGCAAGGCTTGTCACCTCTGTGTCACCTCTGTGCCACTCAGAGTGTTGCAAGGCTTGTCACCTTTGTGTCACCTCTGTGCCACTCAGAGTGTTGCAAGGCGATGACAATCTATGCCGCTGTGACAGGAATGGCAGTCCGTTGGTCGGTTCCATTACTGTGCAGTGGCGGATTTAGACGCATGCCGTATGAAGCGCTGACAGATAACAAATGAAAATATCTTTCTCTGGCAGACCAGAAACTTTATCTCTGCTTTAACCCCTACGTGCTGGGTGTTAAGCACAGTCGGTATCGTTTATGATAATAGAAATGGTCTTCATAAGCTCTAGCATATTTTACGAAAGTTCAAGACCAGACAAATATATACGTAGCGTATGTAGCGCAAAGAAACATATTTGGATATAGTAATAAGGAATCGGAATAAAATGCACTTTTTTACCATGCCAGACAGAAAACATGGCCTAGACCTAGGAGTGCAGGGAGGTTTTAGCCATTGCTAACGGTACCCTTACCGTCAGCATGTCAGGCCGAAAAATTAAGGCAAATAATCCCCAACCTTTCCTTATTCCACTCTAAGATCTAATAAACGGATATATTAGATCTTAGTTCCACTCAACGCCAGGAGAAGGCGTGTTTATCTGTCCAGGCCCGTAGCCAGTGTGTGTGTGTGTGTGTGGGGGGGGGGTGTTCGGGGTGTTCGAAAAAACCGCCCCTTTTGTTGGGAAAAGGTCCACTCTGGGTAAAATTTGATCTAGGTACATGAAGTTTTTTTTTAGGAAAAGGTCCACTTTTTCTGAAAAAGAACCCCCCTTTTGAAATTTCTGGCTACGGGCCTGCTGTCAGTCCGATTGCATTCAGCGAGAGTCTCCCCGTGGACTTGGTGCGCACAAGCTGGTACGATAGATTAATTGTGAACGAACCCAGAGACGTCTACGTGACAAACACCAATGGCTGGCTGGATTGATTATCATTCGTTAATGTTATGTGATGTAAATGCAGAATACATTAGAAATTCTGCGCATAGCAGTTCGTCTATTATTTTTAAAACTTTACCTAGATATCTACACAGTGATTACAGGTGGTCTGATTTTAATTCTGCAGTTAGGGATAATTTTCACTGAATCTGGTGTTAAGTGCGTTTAGGTAGAGTTTAAAAATCAGTTTGGGAATGAAAGTATTTTAATTACACCACTAATGAATTCGTTAGTCATTGATGTGCACTTTAAAAACAAATTACCCAATTGGAAAATATGTAATGTGATGAATAAAATGTACATCCGGGAATGGAAAAATCCAGGCCATTTCTTTTGCTTAGTAGGAAGAGAAAATCACAGCCGGCATGAAAAAAGATGAAAAGAACCACAAGCACATAATCGTTTTTAATTTGAATTAATCACATAAATTACATAAGAGCATGCTTAACTTGAATAAGCATATCGCCAAAGCTAAAGGGACAACAATTGTTCCAATTAGTTTCACATTTACGATAAAAATACTTTTAAAATCTCACAGATATATATATATATATAATAAGCTCCATTTTACCAACAAAACAACAGTTATCGCCGTCTATGCTTACCATCAGACCACATGGACTTTCATAGGTTGCTATACCTCCGTAATAATCTATTAAGAATTCATTATAAACAAAACAAACCTTTTAGAAAAAAAAACATGAATTCACTTTGAATGTCGAAATGGATTCATTAACCATTGGTGAATAAGAAAAATCGTCATTTTCCCCCAAGTTATTTCCCCGAAACGAACGGTTGTTATCCCTTTAACCAGGTGACTTCTAGGGGGCTTAGGCTTACTTGGGTACCTGAGGCAGTTTAAAACCTCTTTTTCAGGAACTAAGAAAGAGGAACTACTTGATTAGTCGACTTGGGATAGTGTCCTTGGTAAAGAACAGGTATGTACACCCTTTAAAGTGAATATTAGTTTTAGTAAAACCTCATCATCTGTTAACTATTCCATAGAGCATATCTGTTACAAAATGGCGTCTGCATAAGTTAGTTAGTTTGCATTATTTCCAAAGAATTATGAACGATTTAATATTCTGATTTTAGTCCCAAAAGAAATTATATAAGATGCGGACAAAAGTATTCGGTGATTATAATAAATGCATTCCGATGGCAACAGGACCGAATATATGTTTGGCTTGGAGTGAAATAGCAAACGCATTTGAAACAAAAGAGACAAACTGATTCTATTACATCATTAACAATCATTGAAATAGCTTTAACGAAGGTAAATTAAAATCAGTCTGTTGAGTAATTAAGAGGGCGATGTGATTTTAAACAAAGCCAGATCGGCTGTAAAGTGGCCGCAGTGTTTGACTGAGAAACTCTGTTATCACACAGGCCCGTAGCCGGTGGAGGGGGGGGGGGGGGGTCGAAAGAACCCCTTTTTGTCGGGAAAAATTTTATCTAGGTACATGAAGGTTTCATAGTAAAAAGTCCACCTTTTCGGAAAAAAATCCCCTTTGATAATTCATGGGCACACACCTATCACAATTAAATGTTTATTTATTTATTTATTTATTTATTTATTTATTTACTTTTATCAATAATTATTTTTGTAAGATCTCAATTCAGGCTTAAAGTCATCAATTTCAAGGGGTACGGGACTTACCTAGGGGTAGAGATGATTACCCCCTAAGAGCTTTACTAGGCGTGACAGACGTTTAAGCCGGTTTGTTTGATAGCAATTTAGTTACACTCCCCAGGAAGACAAGATCCAAATATATGTGGGTATGGTCCCATAGACCCCTAATTCAATCTAGCAGGAGCGACCCATCTTCGAGGTGATTCTCGCTAAATTGCTTCAGCTAAAGCGGATAAGATGACTGGCACGCCTACTGAAGCTGCTTAACGATAAGTTAATTACCCCCTAACAGTTTCAGTAGGCATGCCAGACATTAGAGCCGCTTAAGCTGAATGTTGCTTAGCGAGAAACCCCTCGGAGATGGGTCCATCCTGCTAGATCAATCTAATCGGGATGGGGTCTTATTGCTGTTGACTAATACGTCTATAAGGCTTGCGATAAAAACATGACATTTGCTATCATTTAAATAATGGCACACAAACATCCAGACCCTCTAGTCAACATAAATTTCCATGAATTAAGGCCTATTAACATTAATTGCCATTCCCAAACGTGTGCAGAATGATTACAAGATGTTGAAGTTAGAAGTAACTTTCTCTCCATGGTGACCTATCTTCAATTAGATGCAAAGCATGCAGCCAGTCGCAGGTTATCTATAACTTTAGAAAAAATTATTTTCACTCACATATAGATTATTTCTCTAACAAACGGCATACTACGTCAGTGAACAAAATGTGATCTTTACAACCTCTTCCTTTTTTGGACCCTGCCTGTTCTCTCATTTAAAGGTGGCTTTGAAAATTCCCTAAAAACAAATTAGCTGAATTTCTACCAAGAGCTTCAAGTTGACTGCTATAAGAGGATTTCTAGTAGTTGAACCTGGAAACGTAACGTCGCCGTTGTGTTACGTCAATATCAAACTGTCCACGCCCTGCTTTTGATCCGTTTTGATGGTACTATAAAAACATTATGAGAACAAATTTATGCCAGTCGGCGCCAATACCAAAACCGTATAGTGTTTAATTCAGTAAATTTTCATAATTCTCTACCTTGTTTTGCAGGAGGATCGGCTTTGCAATTTGGACGTTTCAAGGCCCATAAAGCAATTACCATAACGACACTCGTTTGACATTTCCAGAGTTCCAATCAGAAATTACTCGAAGATGTCTTCTAAAAATGCCCCCCTTCTTCAAGTGATCTATGTAGCGCTATTAGTCTACATCCTTGTACAAATCTACCTAAGTGGGGTCTTTATTGTCACTGACAAGAAAAGTATGTCTAATTTGGAAAATAATGAGCAGTATGACTCCACTAAAATGTACTCTCAAGCTCGATTGATTAATATGAAAATGAACAGGGACAATACAGATAAGTCACGTGATCTCGAGGACACTCCAGAAAGGAGAAACTCTCCTGGTGTACACAGCAGACACAGGAAACGGTACACACGAGGCAGCGAATTTGCCTTAAACAATCTGAACACCAAACGTATCGAAGCTTCTAATACAGACAAAGTAATAAAGGAATCTAACGAACCCCACAATTTCAAAAGCCACGTGCAGCAAACGGAAATAAGTTTACCTCTAGTTGGACGCAGCAAACCAATTTCAATTGAAACATTCCCCAGAGAATTGACATTTAAATATGGCGCATTCAATATGGCCGAACCGAACTGTGTGGACGAGGAGGACTTAGAAAAGTTCCGCAAACATCCTCTCAACGTTGAACTAATGCAACAGAGCGCCGAACAACTGAGGGGAGTAATACGGATAATTGACAATGGCATCTTCAATAAGTCAATAAGTCGATCCAACTGTGGATGGAAGAGCCCTTTTGATGAAATAAAGTCAGAAAATTTATCCTCGACTGCTGCTGTCCATGTTGACATTCTCTGTCCTCTTATAGTTCCCGGTGGATCCTCCTTCCAACATTTCTTAGACGGTATTCTACCCAAGATTGTCCAAGCGCTTGATTTGTTGCGGAACAAAGGCGTAAAAATCTTGATACCTTTAAGTAGAGATGTAATTATATTGGAGATCTTGGAAGCACTTGGAATCGGGAAAGATAAGATTCTTTTCCACGCTGGTAGAATTTATGCAGCAAGGAAGATGATCTACACGTGTATTACGCCGCCGTTACACCCGACCCTGTGGCAAAATGCACACAAACTCATGAACGCTCCTGAAAAACTCCCTGTACCTCGTGAGGAGGCATATATCATTTTGTTAACCAGAAAGCAGAGCCATAATGGGGGAAGAAATATGCTGAACCAGATAGAAGTTCTAGCATTCCTAGAGAAAAGATACCGGAAAGACAGAGTAATAGTCTACCCGGGAAGGTACAACCTCACAACATCTGTGAGCGTTTTTGGGCGTGCGCGCGTCCTGATTGGTGTTCACGGAGGCGCCCTCTATAATCTAAATTTTGCCTCAAGTGACGTCAGCGTTGTAGAAATACTTCCGTCAGATGGTGCTGGTAACCCAATCCCCCCGGGTATAGCTCACTCGATCTTTTGGTCCATGTGCAATATGTTGAATCAGTCGTATTGGAGAATTTATAATAAAGCAGAAACACGGAATGGTGACGTTATTGTTGACCTTGTCAAATTGGACCGGGTTTTGGATAGGATTGATCAGCACTTTTAATAGTTTCTTTAACAATATTAATAGGCCTACATATAAGAAATGTATTTAGAAATACATTTTTTTTGTTCAAACTACAGAGCAGTGGCTGAAATGTGTATTTCAGATTGAATTAAGCTGGACTATATATATATATATATATATATAAATATATTTCTTTTCATTCATAATTGGCTTTTCAACGCTTGTAAACCGATTTTTAAAAAGCAGACCCCCCCCCAATATCGAAACGAAATAATGGGGTTGTAATGTTTTATAATGTATTTTCAAATGTGACGTTGACTTATGATCAATATTGGTAGAACCATATGCTTGGTATTGGGGGTTGGCCTGTGTAACGTGACATAGATTCCCCAACGATACACAGTCTGCTTCCCATTCCTTTTCACAGGTAGGCCAAAGCCTCACCCTAGGCTGTGGCCCACTTAGGTCAAGATAATCCTAACCATTTGAACTATACGGAGGGCGGACTTTCTGTTACACGGACCCTCATTTTCGTTACACCGGTCCTTTAAGTTTTTGCTTAACTCATTTATTTCTTCTAACTTGAGTTTAATTGAATATTCGTGTTAATCGCTATTCATAGCCCATTACGGTGACCGTTTTAAAAGGGATATTAGCAGTGGTGAATGTGTGAGCACACTAAAATTTGGGCATTAGTACCCTGATCCTCCGTGGGGATTGCGCATCAAGCACTCAAGTGGTTCAGCCATATTTGATCCTCGCATCTGTTGGTCTGCTGTTGTGAATGCTCTCTTACGTCGCGCCAACGACATCAAGACCCATAACGATGATCCCCTTGTACCCTGAAGTGGTCAAAATGCACAGAAAGCAAGTGCAAATGACCAGACATCATCTTGTATTCATTTTCAGGTTCAACAAAGTGACACTCTTCTTTATTAAAAAAAAAAAAAAAAAGAAAAAAAGAGAAAAGTGAACCACAGGCAAAACAAAACGTTCTTTTTGGTACAAAATATTTATTCAATATGTATAATGACTGATATGAACATATACAGAACAACAAGGCGCAGTATCAAATAATGAATAGTATATACATGCAGCCCACATATACAAGTTAAATGACAGTGTCACAATTTCTCTCATATTTCAGACAGCATGATGCAATATAATATCATCTATTCGCAAGTCTGTTTTTTTTCTAACAGCACTACTATAGCAGCTTCAGCCGACATGCAGAAGTCCATTAAGTGTATAATTAAGGTAAACAATGTTCTAAAATGATATGCAAATTTCCTCTCAAATCAACTGATGCGAAACTTGTATACTGATGACTCAGCATCATTTATAAGTATTTCTTCCATAATACAGGATACTTGATACTAAAATCGTGTTAGCCTCACAATGCCTCAAAAATGCTCAATAATGGTGAGATCTTGCACAATATCATTAACAAAGAATAAACATAATCAGACCCAAAATTGATATACTATCAATCAACAACACTGTCTGGATTCACAGGTGTATATATGTATAAAAGCCATTACCCTTTGGTATTAACTTGGGGTAACAGAACTTGATATAAATTCTTAAGTCATTTTCTTTGCATAGACCATTCTGCTTGTCACGTGAATTGACTGGTAACATTATGAAATGTATGATATTGGTTTAGTAACAGAACAATAATATACTTAGCAAAAAGTGATCAAACATCAGGAATTAATCTGTTGGTTAAGTCTATTTATCTATTAACCGATCAATTTGTGATGTTCAATTGTATCCGATTAAAAAAAAATCTCATAATTTTCCAGTTCTATATGTTCGTCATATTGGCAAGATATTTAAGGAGACAATTCCGATCACTTCGGTACATTACTAATGCTACCAGCGTTCTTGGTGTATTGTGTTGTCAATGTTTTAAGATCTGTTGGTTAAATAAGTTTTTTTTTTTCAGAGTTATTCTACAGGAAACATTGCCAGTGGCATCTGACAAAACATGAAAATAATGACCTTATTAGCATTGTGACTTAAAAGTGTACAACTGCAAAATGCTCTTAAAAGAGTACATTGTTTTTTAACAAATGCAGAAAAAAATATACAAAAAGATATAAATCTCAGACAGAGGTTCAAGTCAAAGTTAAACATTTCATCATGATAAAGCTTTACACGCTTCCTTTTAAAAACTGAAACAAAAATACACAGATTATATAAAACTGTGACTGACACCTTGACTGTGACACTTAACCTAATAAAACCATTATCAAATTGTCATCAAAATATATCCATGATGAAGACATCATCAAACCACTGCAATGATGACATCATCAAAAGTTGCCAACAAAAGATGACATCATCAAAAATAGTGTACATTTACAGCCAACATTTCTACAACAGTTTGCACTGGTGGAGTTTTAACCTGTAAGTAATTCACCTTTCAAGACATTCATTGCAAAATTCCATGTATACCGAACTGGAATAAATAAACCATATATACATCTAAAACAACAAAGAAAAAGAATACCCTTGATACTGTATGTATAACTATATACAAAATGGAAATACTTATGTACAAGTAGCAGTATATGCTGGCACCCATATAAAAAAAATCCACAAAAAAATTTGATTAAAATATGTACAACATTGCTGACAACGTTACATGTAACATTGTGTGCTGTACAGCATTTGCACTGTCATAGTCCATTGTTCCTAAGTGCATGTGACATTACAACTGTCAGTTACAGCATCAGTGACAATACAAAGACAAGTCTTGGAAATTATGTCATATTGCCATGTACTTATTACATTCTCTTACTGATTTAACTAATCGAATATTTAATGTAGCCTTCCTAAAAAAGGTTGGCTAAAAAGTATACATATTATTTTAGTATTTCAGGTGATATATTCCCTTGTATTTTAATCCAAATCATACACAGCATGGTCAACTCGCTGAACACGAAAAATCTTCCAGAAATTCCAGAAGGCACAAGACAGAATACCACTGTATAAGTCCTTGTTGTATCACTACTGCTGCAACTGATAATTAGTGATTTGTGCTGTTATAACTGTGTGAAAATAACTGACATTTTAATGATCTTCTTTGAGAGAAACAGTGCTGCGGCCAGTGGTGATTCACAATTTCTACACCGCCTCACCAAATATGACTATATGCCTCCCCAAAAAACTAGTGGCATCATTCTTGAAGATATTGTTAATTGAGAACTTGTGGAAGGTTTGTCAAAATAATCGAAGTAGAAATGTATCACTAAATAATTGTTACTCTAGCTGTGGTGTTTTTTAATCCTTTTTAATCCAGAAAGGAATCACTTAAATCTCTGTCACAGGGTTAAGTAATTAATAAGTTCCTTTCTCCCCCCCCCCCAGGGTAAAACACCTATTTGACACCAAGCCCATATAAACCAGCTTTCACCCCTCCTTTCAGTAAAGTAATATCTTCCAGTAGGCAGCATCCTTTACAAACAATCCCCCCCCCCCCTCAAACAGAAACTATTTCTGTCCCTAGATTGTTTATCTGAAACCAGTCCATACATTGAAACCAGTCATGTACCATTACATAGGGCATCCTTGTCTGAGTCAACAACAACATGATCGTCATATTTAAGGCAACAACAAGTACTTAACATATACACTAATTTTTTTTTTATGGCATAGTCTGTTAATATCTATTTTTTTGTATGAAATAAGCCTAGAGAAGGTATCATAATTATGCTAATTAACAATCTAGCTTTTAAAACATCAGTTGACAGGTTCTCTCGTCTTCACCACTGGCTTCTAATAACATAATAAGTGCCTATTTGTCTAATCACACTTGATATATCACAATTATTAATGATTTATTTCTGTCCCACTCTTAGCAACAGGTGCTGCAGTCTCAAGCATTCCACCTTATTACCACTGGGATAAGCGTCTATGTGGAACAGGCGCATAACAGGTTTCTCTCTGACCTGTACGAGTTACAATAATCTCCATCTGCGCTTTTATCCTACAGGCTAATATATCCACATACCCTTTTGGAGGATGGTACTTGGAATAAGTGGTCCTTATTTATCGTGTGATCCTTCCATCTAGACTTGCTTTTTATATTAGTACGTGGTCAGGGTTGCTAAGAAGCGCTTTGAAATCGCACCACCCATGTTACGGTCTGTTGCACACGGCACTGTCTCCACCATCACTCACCAGGAGGTGCTAGTGAGGCCATGTTGTGTGATCAGTGCAAGACAGGACACAGCTCAGCAGGTGGAGCCATATGCTGTGAAATTTGTGCAAGACAGGCTGTAGTTCATTTCTCTACTTGTTTGACAAGTTCACCGAGAATTATCTATACATATGTGAAGAGTCCATGACATATCCATGGTTCAATGTGGATATTTTATCCACTTCATGGTTGATAATATCCATAATCTGTGATCTATATTTATAAATATATTCATGGTCTTGTCTTTGATATTTCTTAATGTATATATATTTATATCTATTCACATACGTACACACAACCATGAGTAACTGTCGCCATATTGGACACCTCGGACATGTCAGTAACACCTAAATTCCGCTCCCTGTTCCACTTTCATCATACAAGGAAACCTTCCGACATTTGGACAGCACCGCTTAGCTGTGCTCGTAGAGTCTGTATGCTATTCATGATTTTCTTTTGATGTCCAACGAGAGTGATGCCCAAATGGGCCAGTTCCGTGACTGTGATTCTGGACACTTGTTCCATATTTTCGTAACCTGCTTGCAAGAAATTGTCTAAATAACGCTCCATCTTTATGCTGCAGAGCCACTCCTCAATGCTGGTGAAGCGAGTCATATCAGGCACACTTGGGTCGAAGATGTTATGAGGCCTAAAAATACATGATTTATTGGTTATTGTATGAAAACACGTATCAGAAAGATGACTTGATACATTTTGGTGAAAAAAAAAGGTTTAAGAAGGCTTTTTGTGTCATGCTGTATTTTCATATCATATTTCCTATGTTTTAAAACCAAACAAGAACAAGGAGCAACACTGTTTTTGAAATACACTTTCCAGCTATGTCTTTCTTTTCAGTTTCTTCAGTGAAATGTTAACATTTTAACTTTTGTCATAATGTAAACACTACAATCTTTTTTGCCTCTTAATCATGCTGTCTGCCAATACTTGTGGCAAACTGACCTAGACTTAGCGAGTTTTCTCAGGAGTTCAGGTGAGCGGATGAGTTTGTCTAGAGTCTTCACCAACTGGGCAAACTTTGGTCTTTGGTTCCTCTCCTTCTGCCAGCAGTCCAGCATCAACACGTGAGTGGCCTCGGGACAGTCCTGCAGCAAATAAAAGATTGTTTATTATTGGTAAAATTTCAATTGTTCTGTTATTTTTTCATTTTAATTTGGCAATGGCATTTTTTCACAGAAATTTTATCTTATCTGACATCACAAAATGATAAATAACAGGTTTTCCAACTCAAGGTAAACTTGTGAAACAAATTTCTAACATCATCACAACTCTACAAAACACTTATAAATGAAACCCTTCATAACATTTATAAAACTTAATATTTATAATCATTTGGCATTTAATCAGAGCTTTTAGATAAAAAACCCTTCATCATAATTATAAACCTATAAATCTCACCATAGGAGGGGGCAACCTGTATCCCTTGTCCACAGCTTTGATAACATCTTGGTTCGACCAGTTCCAATATGGCCGCTCGCCATATGACATCACCTCCCATGCAACCACTCCATAGCTCCAGACATCAGATGCCGACGTGAACTTGCGGAAGGAGATTGCTTCTGGTGCTGTCCACCTCACTGGAATCTTACCTCCCTGTAAAGAAGAGTTTTATCTGTGATAAGTCATGTCCTGTCCTGTCACATCTTACACAAACTGCACAATGTGACCTCACTAGCCCCACCTGGTGAGTGGAGGCCATTTTGAAGGCAAAGAAAGCTGTTGGTACTATATGTAACAAAGTATTTTTCCATAATAAGATTGTTTCTTTTCGCTCAATATGCGTAATAAAATTTCCAGAGAGGAGTCAACTACATCACTTTTACAAAATATCTTCAAAAAGCAACATGGCCTTACCCTTGTTGTGTAGGCTCCGTCGGTTGTGTCACTCTCAATTTCTCTTGACAAGCCAAAGTCAGCCACTTTGCATACAAGGTTGTCATTGACTAAGATATTCCTAGCAGCCAAGTCCTGGGAATCAAATAATAAAACATATCATTTTTATGTCCATGCAAAAGTAACAAACTTAACTAAGACTTATTTATGTATTTTACTTTGGCATGCTGTTTGAGATTTTTATATTTCATGAGCAGCAAGGCACTGCCAGCAAGTGCGATTTGAAAACATACAAAAGTACATGAATTTACTTTAAAATAAATTATTATGAATATATATTTGCAAAAGGAGGTTTTCTTTTCACTTACCCTGTGAACATATCCCATTTCTGAGAGGTATCTCATTCCAGAAGCAATTCCTCGCAGCATCCCCACCAACTGGATGATGGTGAACTTACCATCATTGGTCTGGAAATAAAAACATTTACAGCATATTTTAAAAACTATTTCACATTTGATCATTTAAAAATGATGAAGCTGCAGGTTTTAAACAAATAAAAAAATATAGAATGATCTAAGAAATGTCTAGAAAGAAGATCAAATCTACATACCCTCAAAAACTGATCCAATGCGCCGTTCTCCATAAATTCGGTGATAATCATGATGGGATTACTCTTTGTGACCACTCCCTCCAGATAGATCACATTTGGGTCGTCAAACTGTCCCATGATGCTTGCCTCTGTCAGGAAGTCCATGCGGCTCTTGTCTGATGCACCAGGTTTCAGGGTTTTTATAGCTACGCTGAGCTCCATTTTGCCAGGAACTCTCAACTTGCCTTTGCAGACGTCACCAAATTCACCTATGATTTCCAGATATCCAATATACTTGCTTGTTAAAATATAAAACTCTTGGTTCACTTGAAATCTATAAATTTTTCCCTAATTATTTTGCTAAAACAAATCAAAAATCTATAATTTCGAATAAAATCTAACAGCTACGTACCTCCTCCAATTACAGATTCAATGGTGATGAAAGAAGCGTCAATCTCTTTGGTAAATTCTCTGACGGCCTGTTGTGGGTCCTCGTACGTGTGAGGGTCGACATAGGTACGAACACCAGGGGGCGCAAAAAGAGGCATTGTCACTGGAAAGTAGAAGACACAATGCCCATGTAGTCTTCAAAAATTTTTCTTAAAATTTAAGATACACAGAATGACACAGCAACTAAAAAAGTAAAAGTAAAGTTATAGTATTTGTAAATCTAACTAAGTTTATCCTGATCAGTTTGAAATCTTTCCCTATTACCTACAAGTTATGAAGCTTGCTACAATATGTTAGAATAATCTTTAGCACAGTCTCAATGGCTCTCACTATTGATGAGCAACTCAAAATTTGATTAAAGACATTAGCTTAAGTCTCTAACATATTTATAGACTTAAATTTTCTATACTCCAAGTGAAAGGGACTGGGGCAAATTAAAAAAAATATATTTATACATTTATCATTAAAGTAGAAAGTGTAGTTTCAAAGTTAGAGTTGACCAAAGCAAGATATTACACCATTCTTATGCATGATATATGATTCTTGTCCCTTTAGATCTCTCATTTCTTAAGCCTGCGATTATATTTTTTGCACGAACTGTTTGATATCAGAGCCTTATAGGTTGGTTAAAAATCCCCAAAAGCACACTCTACATAGACCAAAAAATTGCACCCACTGACCTTTGCACTTATTGACCTATGCACCTGATAAACTATACACTCTAAGCCAATTCAGTTCAAGGATAAAATTAATCATTGAAGCCACTGAAAATTTCAATCATAATTCTTTTATTCAAGTTCTGAAAATGGCATATAATGCCTACCACAGTAAGTAAAGGAGAAAATAACCATTTTTTGTTCAAAAATTTCAGTGGTTTCATATGTATTACTGAAGCCCCATACCCTCAATATGACAGTCAAGTAGTTACCATTGCTGACTTGAAATATAATATTTGTGGAAAAATTCTTTTGCTGTGTATATATACGCAAATCACATATACACTCATTATACAAACTTCCATAAATGAGTCAGCAAAACATGGTACTACAGAACTGGGCTCACTCCATCTTTTTGTTTTGATTGGCCATAAAATGATTTTTATTAATTCTTTTCAGTTATCTGCTATTTCTGTTATTTTGAATTTAATTTCACAATAAAAAATTTTCATAATCCAATGTGAATGATGAAATGAGCACAGTTTACCTTCGGCATTGGTTACAAAAAAAGCAACTGCATGCAATGTTGCGTTCTACAAAAACCTTTTTTTTTTCTGCAAATACTTACAACTTCCATTCATGTGCGTGTCAACGATAACAGGAGGCGGGTACTGAACTGTTAGTGTGGGAGAGAAAAAGAAACGCAACATAAGAAACCCGGAATTCACAGGGTTTTTACGATAATAAATAACAGACATAGATGTACCATAGGTGGAGAAACAATGAATGAACCTAGGCAATACAGGGGGCCAACAGCTTCCAAAATCAGACCTAATGTCTTACTTAAAATGTACGAATTTTGAATACAAAAGGGAATTATTTGTGAAGTAGAAGCAGGTAGACTAAAAAGAAAAGTCTAAACCTACTTCAAATCAAGTGAAAATGAATTTTGTATTGTAAACTCATCAAAAATATAAACTCAATGTATAAAAGCTACAGTGGAGCAATAGGGAAGAAATAGGTAACAAGCGTAAATGTCTTCATATAAAAAATCTCCAGATCAATTTCTTGAAAGAATTTTTAAAAACTCTTGTTGTGTTCTCGTAACATTCACAAAGTTATCTCCACATGGTAACACCTCTATCTATTATTAATAAGGTCCTTATAGAACCAGTACCTTCATAATAAAATTGTTTGTAGAGATGCAGTAAAAATCGACAGGAGACAATTTCTTTATTGCAAGCATGCTAAACATTTAAAGCATAGTTTCATCTCAATCTGATCTTTAAAATCTTCAAAGCAGCAATCTACACATATAAATATTTAGGATTAAGCAACCTTTGAACGCATGCATTCTGATCACAATGACAGAATATAACAATTATAATATATTCTACTGTACAAACATGCAATAATAAGAACCACAACACATGCAGCATGCAAAGACAACAAGTACAAAAGTCGTGCCCATTAGAGTGTGCAGGTGCGTGCATGCGTGTGACTGCACACTGCCTAATCTACCATGTGTTAAAATCTACGATAGTGTGCTAACACGCAAAACAATTAGTTTTTTGAGAAAAATAAAGAGCCTCACATGCAAAAAGATGTTAGTTAGATCTATAAATCTATTATTACTATGTTTGCTTGGCTATATTTTAAAATTGCTTTTGGATAATAGACTTCCTGTGCCACTTCTCTTAGAAAAAGTTTAAGCCTCAAGGTAAATTCACTTGATTGAGAATTGTTTCCTAATTTTCCAATTTTTGAGTAGAATTATTACACCTTATCCCCTCGCTGTGTTATAGCCAACAACTGTATACACAGAACATTTTGACTTAATAGACAATTTTTTGACACAACTCACAAAAACATTGAAAATCTTGTTATTTTTATCGACCCTACCACATCGGATTAATCACCGTCTTGGTTAGATATTACAGTTAGTATTTTTACATGCATACGTATTATCTTTCCCTTATTTCTCTAATATTTTTGGTCTGGGCATAAGATGGAGACAATTTCTAATTTATTCTACAAATAGACTCTGTTCACTAGAAAAGATTTAATAACAAAAGACCACAGTAAAATGAAAAACACCAGCTAGATGTGTCAACCTTGATTCTTGTTTCTCAATTCCTTCAATCAATAAGCCAAAATACAATTTTAGAAGAAAAACATTTCTGTAAATAAAAAAATAAAATTTGGCAGACAACATTTAGCTTGGTATTTTCACTTCTTTTAATTTTTAAGTAAACTTTGAAAACAGTTGAATGCACAATCATTCCAAAGAAATGAATTTCCCATACACACTCCTTAAAACCGCATTCACACAGGACTACTATCAACTGCAAATAGGCCCAACTGCTACCACCCGAAGACAAAATTACATTTGGAGTGACAGCGCAAGTCGGACCCATTTCCAGTTCGCTGTAAACCTGTCTAAACACTGTTGAAAAAAGTGCAGCTGATGTCAGATTGGTGCAAATGGGATACAGTAGAATTGTGTGAATTAAATTGCTAAATTAAAACTGGTTAAACAGAGGACAGGGAGAGGTGGTTTTGGATGTGCAGTCCAACTGTTCTACTTACCAAATAAAAAAGAACCAAAAGCCAATTTCTTATTTTTCAAATTACCAATATTTGGAAACTTGTCTTTGGTTCTTGGTATATACAAAGGCAGTGTAGTAGTTCATCACACAAAGCTATAAGAGCTCAGTTTCTTTTCTTCACGTAAAAAATAGGTCCATCAAGAAACTTGTTTCAAAAGAGAAGTCATTTTCAGTGATGAAGAAAAAGGACCAACTCTCAGAGCTTGGATTGAACCTACATTGCCTTTATACCCTTGTCTGTGACACTGTGACATTGTGACAAACTATAAGACTGTTATATACTAAAGCATGCAAAGACGTATCCTACCCTCACCATTACTGTAGTGAAGCTGGTCGCAGTCACTCTTATTCTTCTCGTTGCATGGCTGATTGTTTCTGTAACAATAACAAAACATTGTTGATTACAATCCCTCTTTGGTCTGACACCATTACGGCAATAATAATACAGTGTCATTAAAACATACCAATGCAAGATGTAATATTACAAATACAATGATGACTGCAAACCAAGCGTCTTTTGGATATCATTTGAACAATAAAAATGTACAACTGTCACTCTCTTTAGAAACGGAAGAATGTTGACTGCAATGGCTTTACCTTTTCAATACAATTTAAACAATAACAGTACAATGTCTTTATATTTTACACAAAGTATAACATTTAAAGTACAACGTTACTAACCTCTTCAGGTAAATGACAACCATGACAGCTACGATAATGAGACTGACAATGACAGCAACAGCAGCTCCAGCGATGATGCCATCTGTGTTTACGAATCCAGGTGAAGTTTGTTTGTCATCCTTAGCCAGCGAAACAGTTGTTGTGGGAACTTCTGAAAGGCCAAAATGTTATTTTAAAGAAAAAGTTCCACTGTATTCCTTTTTTGTTAATTTTTAATTAATTTCATGTGATTTCTAAATTATACTGTGTTATTCTTTACATCACTGTCAGGGGCGGATCCAGAGATATTTTCTGACAGTTTTCCAAATTATTTTTGTTAATCCATCCTCCATTTTTGACCGTCTTCCGACAGAAAATATTAGATACGCGTCAATGTAAACTTTAAAATCTGACCGTTTTCCGGAAGACCCAGAAGACGGCCTAAATCCGCCCCTGACTGTTTGTGTGCGAGTTATCTCCATGCTTGCATACATAGTCATGAGATGCACATGCCTATGTATACATGCGTGAAACGTTGTACAAATTGAAAATCCTAAAAACCTAGTTTGCAATTTCTCACTGCATTTAAAACCACAGTGTATGTGACAGAGGAGCAAATTCATTTCTGTTTATTTATTTTTTTTAATTTACCTCTGGTTATGAAGGCCTCGGTGAAGACAGAAACTGGAAGGGTCCACTCACCCCAGCCCTCGAACACTTTACCACGGACCTGGAAGTAAAACAAATAGCATTGCATTCAACAATGGGGGTACATTTTGTTCTTTCTTAGACCCCATTCCAACAGGCACCACTGGTCTACATAGATCAACCCAACTCTGCAGGGACTCTTGCTGAGTGCAATCACCAGCTTTTCTGTTTTCTACTTAATGCCAGGAGAAGGCACGTCATTCAGTTAAGCTCATTACACTCGGTGTTTTGTCAAGATAAACCTGTGGAGAGAATTTTTGTCTGGTGGCCTATATTACTGAAATAAACCACTTCTATCATATCCACTTATATCAGATATACTGCAGTAATTTACTATCGGTGTTCCCCACAATTACTACAAAAGTGACAGACAAGTGATATGACACTGATAAAACTACCACTCCATACAATACCCTCTTTATTGCTACTAGTCATGCAATATCGCCTGACATAGTTCAGCCATAAAAAAAAAAAATTATATTACCAAAAGATAGCTAAGGAAAATTTTCAGTGACTACAAAAATCAAACAATTTTTTTTTTGACAAGGAACTGGTCTAACATTTTAAATAATCTTGATTTAAACGAATTAATTTCTGTTATCTCATTTTTACAAAAGACATAAGCATTTTCTCCAACTGAACAACTTCACAAAGTTTACTTCATCTGTTCATTGTTATTTTTCATCAACTTTTTCAGGCAAAACACTATCCCTTTCCACCTTTAAATAACATTATCTCCAAACAAATTCTACCTACTTTATCACACTCAAAATCTTGTCCAGTACACCACCATAACAATATTACTAGCCCATTCAATCGCCATTGCATCTAGGTCTTCTCCAAACACAATCTCTCCCATCTCAACAAACGCAATCCACCACACCACACATACCCTGCTTACCTGGAAGGAGTACTGGGTGCTGGCCTGCAGGCTACCAATGATCACCCTCAAGGAGGTGGTGGTGACACTCAGGGCGTTGAAAGGATTGTCTGTGGGGAAGTACTTCACCTCGTACTGCTCATGCTGCTCCACCGGGCGGTCCCAGGCCACCAAGATGGCCGTCTGGTTCTTACTGACCACTCGGACGTTGTCCACTTTGGAAGCAACTGTGAAAAGAAATCATCAGTGTTTTAAGGTTTTTTTCTAATGTATATTTCATAAGTGTTTTGTACTTGAAATCCATGGAAAATGTAGGTTAAATTACTATTTATCTTTTTCTTTTTCTGTCATCAAATGAACATAGTCCCTTACAGATAGTATATTCATCAAGTGCCTTGTGTCATAAAACTGACTTTCACAATGTAAGCATGGACACTGCCTACTTTTATAGCATCCAAGGCATATATTTGACAGACATTAAGTAGGCATTAAGTAATGGTGAACTAAACATGTTGTGAATACCTGTAGCTTCTACTGAGAGTGCACCTGTTAATTAGTGGCAGCATTAATGGGCACAGACAACCTTTTAATAAAGGCGTCAGTCAGAAAAGATAGGTATCTTGATTCTAAAGTAAATGTAGCATTTATCAGAGGATGCATTCTCCCAAAAGACGTCAAATTTAAAGTTTGGGAAATTAATCATTGTGAATGGTTATCGAGTTATTTGTCAAAAAACACAGCACGGAGATAAATCACATGGAATGGTTATCTGGAGATGTCAAAAACAAAGCACGGAGATTGGTTTCTAGGAAAGGAAATTGTCTGTGCTAATAGTCCTTTGTTACATCTGGGAGATATATTTTGAAAACTAATTGACTTTTTCTCCTGTCTGGGAATTCCTGGCAATAAAACCAAGATCTTATCAGATTTTTCTAAACCGAAATAAAAACTCTGGCTCATATTTTGTAAGTAATCTCAGAAACAAAGAATAATATATTGTTCACTGCTCACTGATTAAATGAGTACAACCAATTCAGTAGATGCAGTATGTGTAAAAATCACCCAAAACCTTTTTAATTCCTTACAAGTACCCATGCCTTTGGAAAGGAGACCCCAAAAATGACCCATCTGAAGGAATCTGACCAGCTGGACCCTGCTGATGATGGACAGATGAACAAGAACAACTGTTTTGACCAGAGCGCACTGCGTGACACCCCAAGCTGTGGGCACTCTTCATACCAGACTCCCCAGGTACTTAAATAACTTCCCCATTATCTAATCTTCCCTAGCCCATAATTATAATTTTTCCAATTTTCTAATTTGTAATAAAAAAACTTTTTCACAAGATCTTTCATGGTAATCTTAACCACCCTCAAGGAAGTAAGCACTGCACCCAATCATACCTTTGTGTCAGAAATTCCTTTTGTGAACTCCTAAACTTAACAAAATTAGGTAGTGCTCTTACATAACAGAAGAAAAATATAATTATTTCCAAATCTTTGAACTCTGTCTTGGTTCCTACAAACCTTTAAAAATCAAAAGTCACTGAATGTTTTCACTCATTTTCAATCATATAAATAAACCACTGATAAGAACATGAATTTCCACAGAGCCAAAAAAGTTCCCATCCTGGTTACTCAAACCCTAAGAAAACACAGAAACCATTTTTAAAATGCAAACAAGAACCCCCTGTTGCTGGATGTCTTTCCATAAAACGGACCCAGCCCAACATTCCGAGAGCTGTTGAAAAAAATTAACTCCAGCAAACATATTTACTCAGGGAATGCTGCTAATGTTTGCTTTTCCTGGTATCAATTCCTGTTCTGGATTTATTTTTTATTTCTCTGTAATGTGAACCTGAAGTATCTTATACGTCTCTTTGATCTTGAACCCAAATATCTCTGACTCACGAAAGGCATAGAGATACGGCTTGTCTTGGTTAAGTACTTCCCCTCTGTGGAAGATGATTGGCTGGGCAAACACTTCACAAAAAGAGAGCACGGACAACAGGAAAAAAAATCTCAAGGGCAGTATCTTTGTTGCATAAAAATTTATTACAATGCAGACAACAGCACGTGTTTGTGTATTTGAAAATGAAAAACTGTCCCCCTTCCTTTTTTTTTTCTAAAAGTCTGCCCAATTAAGATGAACACAAAATTCATATACTACATCTGCTACTTGTAAGAATTCACACTTACTTGCATCCATGGTTTTAACTATGATGGTGGCATGGTTGAAGTCAGTCACAGGGATGGAAATGCCATTCATGGAGTAGACATTGATCTTGTAGTTGGTGCTAGGGTTCAAACTGTGTAAGGTGACCCTGGATAAATGATAAATATGAAACATGAAAATAAATAAATAAATAAACTTGACCATCATTTGTCAATCTTTGTCAAATGCTTTAGGTAAATTAGTTTGTCTAAATAATATTACAAAAAAATTGAAAAAAAAAAATTATTTTAAGTTTTGCAAATGCACTGCTGAACCATTAATATTAAGATACAGAAGAATAGAGAAAAATATAAAATGTCCATCTTACGTTGTTTGCTGTATCCCTGTCTGTATTGGCACGTAGCGCACCGTGCTGTCACACTCCACGCACTGCCCGCGCTGACTGTTACACTTCAGACATTGCACGTGGTACGTGATATGTGCGGCGTTGCCACCATCAGGAGCCATCCAGGCCACGCGGAGAGTTGTCTGGTCCTTGAACTGGATCTCCAAATTACTGGGTGCCTCAGGAGGCTCTGAAACAAATAGAAATAATAATAATAATAATAAAGTATTCTCATATCTAAATTTTAAAAAATATTGCTAAACAGATCAAAACTTTGGTCTCCAGCAAGACCAAGTTCAACCAGTCCTACCATACTTCATTAGGTATTGCACCGTAACTGCTCTCAAATTAAAAATGGACTTAGCACTTGTTGGTTGGCCATCAATCTCATAATTTTTGTAAGGATCAATAGCTCTCTTTGACTTTTATGTTATTTGACACTAAAATATTTTGTTTTCATCTAAAATACACCATTAACAATTAAATCATGGAAAACTGAAGACAGAATAACATGAAAAAAAATAATTTTAAACCAAAGCAAGGATCATTTACAAATAAAAGAAGAGACAAAAGAGGAAAATTAAATGAATGAAATCAACTTTTCTCTTTTTGATATATGGGGCAGTTTATTGGTGTTTTCAGGAGGAAACAAATTCCAGAACTTTCAAACGCAATTACTCCTCGCCTTCAATAAATAGGGAAAGTTGGTTCACATGCTACGTGATTCTCATACTCCCAAAGCTGTCTAATTTCATTTCCAAACCAGAATACCAATTTGACTATAAAGATTCCTTGGACAAATCAGCTCTTGTGTCTTGTGAGAAATTGTAGCTGTCAGAATGGCGATGAATCAAGATTGTTGCTATCTTTCTTGGTAATAGGATTTGAAATGGAAATCTACTGCCATCAAGAGAGAGACAATTTGTAAGATATATCTCTAGTTCCAACTTGGAATAGAATTTGCCTGTCATTAAGCGATCCAAATCAAATATCAAGGGGTAGAGCAATTTGTAAGATCACTCAGCTGCTTGTAATTAAGAAACTGTTATCCAGAAGTCTCGACTGAAAATTAAGAAAGGACTTTTCTTGTCGATAAGAAGATCTCTACCCTCCTGCAGAATTACAATAAAGCTTTAGATAATCTTTTTCTCCAGTCTGGATATCAGTGAAAAATGACTAGTTATCAGAAATGTGATGCCCAAAAGCAGCCAGATTCAAACCATCTGTAAAATCTATATAGCATTATTTAGGGAGAAATTCTGATTGCCATTAAGAACACCTTGGCAATTTTGTAGGTAATTGTCAAGAAGATCAGTCTAAAGCTGATTAGGTCTTAGGGGTCGCCAAAAGAAGATTAACTTCTGATAGAATCATTTGTAGAGAAAACCCCGATTCTGCCAAGATCTCTTAATGAGTAATTTCCGTCTCTCAGAAAAGGATCTAAGAATTTGAAATGACGAAAAGGAGTAGAAATAGCCTGAAAATGATATCTTTTTTAATATCAGTGAGTGAGTGAGAGAGAGAGAGAGAATGGAGGCAGCCTGCATTAACTGTTATGATAACCATTTCCAAGTTGGCTGGCAGCATTTTTGGCACCATCAGTCCTAGACATGGGAAGGTCTATCACAATGACCAGTCAACAGATAGACCCCTTCCCCATGACGCCATCGGTCGACATAGATCCATCCAACTACCCGGGGACTCTCGCTGAGTGCAATCAGCTAAACTGGATGACATGCTTCCTCTTGTTTCCAAAGTGCTCAAGTAATCACTTTTCTGTATTTGACTTCTAGCCAGAAAGAGGCTTGTCATTTAGTTATGCTGATTGCACTTAGCAATTGTCCACACAGAGTTGGATCAATCAAGAATGACTTTTGGTGCCTATGGGAATGAAGCCATAGAGTGACCAGTCAAGGGTTAACAGTGGTCAGTTCAAAAGGGCACCAGATCTCCATCCCAGGGGTCATCATCATGTTTGATGCCAAAGAGGGTTAGGAGTTCATCACCACAGTTAGTGATACATGTACTCTTCTTCCCCATGGCAATTGTACAGCATCAACTCTACATGCTACACAATTTACTTCCATATGCGATGCTGGTTTATAAAGGGAAATGGCAAAAGCTCAAGGGGCATACTGACCGCTTCCAACGGTTTTAGATGATACACAAAAGAAGATCAGGAAACATTTACCAAGCTTGTTACCCCTGGACATATAGATACTAACAATTTAGTGTTTTGTGGTCTGTCTATGAGAGAGAGAGAGAGAGAGAGAGAGAGAGAGAGAGAGAGAAATGACCCTCCATGATTCACCTTGGACAGAAATTATAGACTCCAACACAGGCAAATGGTAACGTTATTAATAATATATCACGTTGTCCCCCACATCCCAAACTCTCCCCTTCGCCAAACCCACAACGGAAATTCCAGACGCAGATACATGTACCTGAATTTGGCTTGAATCAGGTATGGAACCGGAAGACGTTAAAACAATTAAGGACAGGGGGGAAATAACCACATTGTAATCCCTTTCTAGCAAATTTGAGGCATATTTCACGATATTACCATACTATTTTCCTCAAAAAAGGTCACCCACCAAATACTCAAATGTGACAATATAAATTTTTTTAGAACATTTACTCAACAAAGGCACCAGTGTGTTTAACAAGTGAAGAGGACAGCAACACCACCCCAGTTAACAAATTTCTACCAATCCAACCAGAGGCCAAATACAACCTGGGACTTCAAATTTGCAGACTTTCCTGCTGATTTGTGAAGAGCCTGCCAGCAAGAAACGGACGGCTCGACTTCAGGTTTCCTTGATTTGAAGAATGTTACAAAGAGAGCTCATAAATTTACCCAAGATAATGGCCGAAGAACTCTTGAAACCCACACTAAGTGACACTTGAATCAAGAGCCCTTAGTGAAGCCTTTACTTGGATAATATAATCGGACTATTCAACACTGTGTGAATGAGACAATATCGTGAGGAAGTAACCTGTATGGGACCGAGATAAACATGTATACAGAAGACGCTGTTTGTTGATATCAGCTAGCAACTGTACTTGAGACAGTCTTGTTAAAAAAGTTCAAAAAACAATATAAGATAACACAAATAGGCTCCTCTATGGGAACACTGGCTAATTAGAATCATTTTAAATCAATAACATTTGACTTCTTCAAAAATGATTTAACTACAGCTCGAACTTTCTTGGCTGTTGTTTCTGTTTTAATGATAAAAATCAGCAGAAAGTGTCAGGAACCATACTAAGAGTTTGGACATACCTATACACGGTTGAGAAGCATTTGCATGTGGCAGTCTATAGTAACCTGGGTTGCAATCACAGATCGTGGCACGAGTTTTCCCGTCAGCATTGCTGTTAGCAGGACAACTGTGGCAGGTGTCGCCCCCTATAGTAGCTTTGTATGTGCCAGACGGACAGGCTGCAAAGAAAAGAACACAATGTTATATGAGTTTAATATGACAGCATAAAATGTATGTTTCAATACTTCAATATTAATATTTTTCTTAAAACTTGGGGCTTCACTATATAAGAATGAAAGGGAAAAGATCATGCACTGTTTATTCTGCTTTTTGGTTATTTTCTTCAAAGAAAATTTATTTTTCTTAATGTTATACAGACTTAAGAAACAAAATTTAGTCTTCATTTTTGCCATCAGGTGGCGCTTAAGGTCACATCTCCTATGACAAGAAAATTGTCAGTTCGAAGAGTGAATATTTATACTAGAACATGTTAACCTTGACACATTATTTTTGATAAAAATAAGCAACATAACTATTCACTACATTCTGTTTATGTGAGAGCCATTCAAGACATTTGACTGCCCCTTTTCCAATATTTCTTTTTCAGCTCAACAGATTCTAATGCACCCAACATTAGCAATTTCCTTCGCAGAAGTTTGTAGGAAATATCTTTTCACGTCGTCCGATGGTGCATTTACTTCAAGTGTCAAGCTATTGATGGTGGTTTGCAATAATTAGAACCCAATGAATTCTGCCGTTTGCTGTTTGACTTTTTTGTAATGTTTCCCTTTGTGAGTGCGTATGTTAAAACAATATAGGCAGGGTTTCTAGATTGATTTGTCTGTGTGTTTCTCTCCAGTGCACATTTTAAAACAATGGCCATAAGGTTTCTCATTATTTTTCATATAAAAATATCAGGTGCCTAAAACAAAGACTGAACAGAAAACTGCATTAGTCTTTCCTACGGTGTGTTGAGATTGCATGTGTCTCTACATCTTAATTGGATTTTCATTAAGAATATTGACAGGATTTTCTCTAATGGGATTATACATTTTTTTTATGGCACAACAAATAGAGATCAATTTTGGTCTTTCTTTGGTGCCCTTCTTTCCTTGCTGTCATATAAATTGTTTGGCCACTGCAAATGAAAAAACACTGTCCTTCTTTTAAACTGTTCAGCATTTGGTCAAAAAAATCATTTGATTTTCGAGCAATTTTATAGCTAAGTGGCAAATTATGTTAATTATTACGGCATGCCAATTGCGCCATACAAAACAAGTGGAAATAAAACACTGTCTTTTTGTTCAAAATACCAGCGCTAATGATACAACATGGAACAGGATATAGCAGGAACTTCTTTCGCATACTGCAATTTGCCCCTCCATACATGAAATTGCATACTTTCTATAGAACATTTTTTATAGCAGCAAATTAAAGCAACAACAGAAATTGTTCTGCTGAAGAAAAAAAAATCAATTTTCCTACGAACAGAAGATCAATAGTATCTTTCCCTTGTATCGATTAGCCTTTCTATTTAGTCAACATTTATTGGCAATTTTGTTTCTGCTTTATTCTCCGTTAATTTGTGCTTCGTGACATTGAGGGATAATCACAGGTCAGATCCTGAGGCGGCTCTAGAGGTTTTCTTCTTTTCCAAACAAGTGTAGCCAAATGATAAGTAGTAGTTTAAATTGCACAACTAGGCAAATAACTTCATATGTATCTTCCTTGTTATTCTGATGGAAATTCATTTTTAGTGTAGAAATTGAAAAGTTTAACATTTGAATCATATCTTCCTTGTATGGCCATTAAAAAAAACTCTGATCTTTCTCAGTACAACAAGCCACCAGCATTTCACAGAATACACAAGAAACTTTCTGGAAATGAAAGAGACATACTGATAAAACAGAAGCCAGCAGTCTTTGAAAACTCAGGGCAAGCAATGAGCAGGTAGGGGTTAACTGAAGGCTCCTCAGGGCGAACTTTACCCTTAATTGCACTCAAAATCAAATCAAACACCGTGGAGTTGGTTTTACAAAAGAGTTTATAAGTTAACTCACTCCCCTCTTGTCCAAAATCAATGCTTCAAAACCTACATATATTTATATAAATCACTGCACTTAAGAAGAGAATATCCTCTTTTTCACTCGCTGCATCCCCTTCAGCCCTAACAATGCAACTCTATTTCCCAAATCATTTACAATGTAACATAAACTGCCTTCCCAATTCTGAAGACTTCCCAGCTTTCTCATTACCCCTGCAGAAACTAGACACCTTTAACCGAAGTGCAAACGTCTAAAATGTCCGTTTATTTAAGTAAAAGGTTTCCATAGACTCATATATTTAGATGGTCAACATGGACTTCCATTGTGTCGTCTCTTCTGCGGCCATTGTTACACGCATCGTGTGTTTGTTATTTTAGTGTTATTGTCAGCCATTAGCGGTGGAGAGTAAAATAACTCAAAGAGACCGCCCCGTGCGGAGAAACATCATCGTGAATTTTCACAACAATTGGGCCTTCCCTTAAGCAAACACTGACTCAGTTCGTACAGGTAATGGAAGTCAGTTTGCTTTTCAGAAGGAAAGTTTTCTTTTCTCGACTTTTCAGATTTAGTTTTAATCAGCCCCCTTTTAACCCCTGTATGGTGTTCAGAGTTGTTTCACTGAAGAGATTTAACTTTTGAGCTTGGATGCTCGGAGCCTGGATGCTCGTAGCTGCTGCTCAGATAGACGGGTATAGGAATACAGTATCAATGGCTGAAATTCAATGCGAATTCCTCTTTACCTAAATTTTTAATGACCAAATGGTGATAAAGATAAACCTGGCAGAGAAAATGACAAGGAATGATCTTCACTATAAAATAAACATTTTTATTAACATTACATTTATTTATTTACTTTTTTATTTTTATTAATTTTTTTTGTTGTTGTTTTAAATAACATCAAAGCCATCTCAACAGCAGGGTCTGTTAAGCAATTCCTCTTTAAGTACTATACTGTAGTATACATATTCCATTTCATTCTCATTGGATTTTCATAGGTTTTTTTCTATACATCAAACATGTTTTTTTCTACCCTTTCCTGGAACATTTCAACTCACGGGTTGGTCAATGAAGTTGGACAGCCAAACGTGCTAGGAAGGTGGATTTCTGAATTTTGTTTCAGAATTCAATTACGACAGTATAATGTTGTGATTCTGTATGCATGATATTCTATTTCCCCTGCAACTGATCCGTTTAGGGGGTAGCGGCAGTTACAGTGGCAGCGACAATGTGTTCAGATGTTGTGAGACAAAAGAGTATGTATGAGGGGAACAGGGGCTGGTTGAGAGTGTTCTGGGGGGGGAGAAGGAAGGTGATAGGACTTAAACATGGAGATGCCATTTACTGGTAGTGCTATTTAGCCTATTAGGGCACCTGTTATTGTATGTTTTACCCATTTTTCTCTTGTATGTTTTACCCATTATTTTCTCTTGTATGTTTTACCCATTTTTTCTCATTATTTTTTCTACCCACCTCTAATCTCTCTCTTTAGAACACCATTCCTCTCTTTCTCCCCTCCCTCCCTCCTCTCTCTCTCTCTCTCTCTCTCTCTCTCTCTCATACACACACATATATCTCTCTCTCTCTTTTCCTCACACACAAACCTCACTCTAAATCTCTCTCTCGATATCACACACAAACACATACACACTCCATATTCTCTCTCTCTCTCTCTCTCTGTCTCTCTCTCTCTCAATCCTATCACTACAGACCTACATTAGACAGGCAGACACAGGTTCACCCCAGGAACCAGTGCAATTCAAATTCTTTCATATTTCTGCCCATTACTTCGGCTGATGTGAGTTCTCTATATATATTTGTCTGGCTGGAGATAATAGCAGTGGACAGCCGCTTCACTGACCACAAGATGTGTGGTCTGAGGAATGGGCACTGGTGGTCAGTTTTTAACTGGAGTCTTTAGTCAGTTTTTCACTAGAGACAGTCAGTTTATTTGCTTCAGTCTTTAGTCAGTTTTTCACTTCAGTCTCTGTTCCTCATCTTATTTATTTCAACACATTGTCTTGATTTTAATGTTTTTTGATGAAATATAATGGAGCTTGGAAAAACATTTTATCAATTGCCATGATTTTGTTCTTGGAATACTACAGTATTCTTTAGTTAATCATTTAGCTTCTATCACCTTAGGGTTTAGAGCCAAAATATTATATTCTTGAACTTAAATGGCAAAAGGGTCAATATATGAAATTCCATATATATTTTCTAAATTGACCCCTTCCCCTACATGCTCAAGCATAAAAAGGCGAAAAATGGAAAAAAAAATCTAGTTCTCTATAAATTCATGTTTTGCATGTTTCTGGTCTATATTTCTCATCCCTACCCTAATTCCTACTTAGCTGTTAATAACATCTTCAAAGAGACATGCAATAGGCTGATTTGATAGTGGGAGTTTTGGATGTATAATGAGGAAGCAGGGGGATTCTTTCTTGCAAAGTGTATAATAGGTCTATTATCTCAAGAATGAAATGTATAAAACTTTAAATGCACATAAGGAATTGAGGGGTGTAGGCTGCCAGAGAAGACTTTCCTTGCACTCGGATGATTTTTCCAGTGCATGGAACCAAAATGATGAGCATATATATTTAGCTGTTCATGAATAAATTATATGGGGATCGTTTCAATATATGAACTCCCCCCCTCCCCCAAAACACAAACACAAATTTGGGGCATTCCCTTTTCTTCATTTGTACATAGGAGACAGTCCAAAATGCAAGGTTGTTAGAGGGTTGTTACACTTACCAAGACATTCAGTGTTATCCACATTAGGTTGGTATCCCGCCTTACAATAGCACTGTCCCGTCGGCCACACCCATGTCCCGTCACTCTTGCACAGGTAGGCAGGCGCAGGTCCATTTCCTACTCTCACTGCATTATCAACACACACGCCCTCTTTACTAACGACTGACGACACATCGCGACCTGTCGCAGTCGTGTTGAAGAAAGCGAAATTTTTACGCACTGCAGGACATGTGATATAATACACGTTAATTGATAGTAAGGAGGTGCATGCTCCTTCATCGAGGAATGCAAAGTAGACTCCATTTTTGGAGACAGGGACGCTCCTGTATTTCAAGTTGATTTGATAATCACTGAGGTTCGTAAATTTATAATCCGCAGCAATGGAGTCCACCATCTGGTAAGACCCCTGCTCCGCTTGCCATCTTGGCAGCGTGTCCGTGGCGAAGTCAGACATTGCTTCATAATAGTACAATGCGATGGTCTCTTTACACTGAAACACCTCCTCTGGTTTTCTGTGTGTGGAACAGTCTCTCATTGTGAATTCTATCTCCACGTAAAGTCTGTTGGCGTCCCCGCGCGGGATGTACGGAAGGCGAAGCCAGTTGCTGACTTCTGAGTGCTCGATGTCGCATGCCATATACACTCTCCTTACATTTTCACCATCGTTGAAGCTTCCTTCTCGCCACTGTAATGAGAAGACGGGTTAACATTAGGTACACAATTAATCATAGAAGAAAAACAAATAATGTCTCAACCTAGAAATAAAATAATATTTCAAAGAAAACAAATACATTTTTCATCTATCCAGTTAATATAAAATCAAAAACTGAACTGTTGAACGCTATTTTTTACTACATTACTTCACATCTTAAAATATATATATTCATCAAAATTTATATCATTTACAATCTTGGTTGGACGCCGGAGAGGCCATTTTGAAAATAAGGGTCTACATTTCTTTCTAACAATTTGTAAGAGCAACTAAAACAAAATACACATGGAAATCTTTGGGAAATTTCATTGCGAAAGGACAGCACCACACACTGTCACTATGCTAAAATCTTCATTTCAATTTAATTGAATCAGAAACCAAAAGTGACACTTCCAATTTAGCCACAGATCAAAGCACCACCTACAGCAAAAGCATGTATGGCTAATGGCATTTTTTTTCAGGGTATATCTCTACAAGAATCTATCACGCAGGGATGCTTTGATGGAATAATGCTAGCGTGGAGTGCCTGTGGAGATGCTTACATATCAACAGGGCAAAATTAGAGGAATGTTGCCTTCCATTGTTGTGTGCGTGTTTTAATTTTCATCAAGGATTTTGAAGAACTTGGCAGAATGCAAGTGCATAGCTCATTTAATCATCTCATCTTCCCTACTCTATATTGATAAAATCTAACATGGAAAACTATTTCTTACAAGTATAAAAAATAAGGGAATATCATCTCAAAATAAGAAACTTTCAATACAAAATTATATAACTACCAAACCAAAAATGGAAGCTTCGGTAGGTTCCAATACCTCAATTCCAACAATGCTTTAATTAACTTTAAAAAATCCCATATTTAATCACTTTGACATTAACACCACAACCAGGAGCGCTGGGAGAGAAAAATTGCTCCTATGAGTAAAAAATTCTCTCCTCAGAATGAAAAATCGCCCCTCGTTTCACGGCAAATGAGGCCTAATGATCAGAATTCATGACTTCATTTAGGCACTTAGGGAATCCAGGGTCTCCCCTGGGGCGGGGTGTTTGATGGCCCTGCTGGAGTGTATAACATTAAACTTGGCTGTGACTAAGTCAAAATCAATCAAATGGCAATCAATACATTTGACTCAGCTCCATCACATAAAGAATCTCTTCTGGTGATTGATTATCTTATAAGTTTGATGCTGAGATACTGATTACTGTTTGTGTGCGTGCATGTTCTCCCATGTGTGTGTGTGTGTGTATGTGTATGTGTGTGTGCACTCTCATGCAATACCTGCATACATGAAAGTGTTCTTGTAAATCTGTATGCATTTGCTTCATAATTTCTTCTTCCATGACAGATCTTCCTCTTTTAAAAAAAAATTATAATTCCCAGTGAAAAATAAGAGGAGGCTGCATCATTCTCTGATACTATCATTCCAAAAAGTCAACAAAAGCTTTAAACTGCTCTTCTTCTATTTCTGAAATCATTACAAGATGGGACCACATGGGGAGAGATGGAATTTTTGATTTTGCCCACATCTTGCGACTGCTAGCTTAGTGAGGCTAAAGTTCCCGACTTCCTAACACATTTAGGACAGATGAGTCTGCCAAAAGGCTGTGGGTGGAATTTCTTTTTAAAACAAAACTAGCAACTGCTGTTTCTGATAGTCTAAAATTTCTCATACTGAAATACTTTTAGGACAGCTGACATTTTAGAATTACAATAAAAACAAGTGTTTCTTTCTCTATCTTAACTTGTTCAATCTTACTAAATGACTATGCAAAAAATATTAATTCAGTTTAAGAGCCTTGTACAATTTTTTTTTTTTTTTTTTTTTTTTTTTGCCATGAATTGAAACTACCAGCAACATCATAAGATCTTGGAGATTTGATCCAGACAAACGCTGACAAATGAAAATTCCCAATTTCATTGCAGACAAAATCCATTCTATGTCTGGTAATCCCATCTAATTTCTAGGCGACAAAGCAAATTGAGGATAGAAATCCCATGGAAAATTGGCCTTAGAAGATGAGCCAATTTGAAAGGCTACCAGACAACATGGCTGCCATTATGACAGAAGATTACGTCTGCCGCATTATAAAAAGCAGCAATGCATGCAACACGATGCCAAAGCCTGTCAGCAATCATGATTTTTACTCAGAATTCATTGTCACAAATGAACGATAAACTACGCCATTTTTTTTTCAGAAATTTTTCAATACATCACCCCATTATTCACAGACTTGTTATAAGGTTATGAGCACCAACAGCTGAAAACTTAGCAATCCAAAAAATAGACACAGATTATTAAGGATTAACTGATGGACATCAGCAACTGATACGTGTCTATAAAATTAATGAACCATTCCATCTCCTCCTCTATTTACCACAAATATCATTCCTCCACGCAGAAAAAAATTCGAAGAAAGAAAAAAATATCTACGTTATCTAAGAAGTTTTTAGTGCTCTCCCCTGTGGCCAATTTCCAGAAAGAATTCAACCCCTGACCATCAGTCAGATATTGAATGGAAGCAGACGACACTTGGGGGAACACCTTCACAATGCCAAGTAACCAGAACACCCCAGTGCAAATTCAGTTCCTTCATTTCAATCTTTACAGGGAGCTACTGTTAAAATTCTATTTTATTGATCAATGAGTGTTCTAGTTTGGACAGGAGTTACCTCCTGATTCTGATTCACAATCATATGGTTTGTAATAATTAAACATAGTTAATGAATTAATTCTCAAATTGGTATGTAAATTATAAACAGCATAACTTCAATAAATTTAGCATTTATGAAGGTGCTAAAGCTTCCAGGAGAAAAAAACTGAGCTAGATATGTTTCAAATATTGTTATTCATCTCTGTATTCTGCAATTACATAAAATTCCAAGAATGGAAGACTTTTTTATTTTCAAACATTCAGCTTATATTATGATTATCTCAGGCAAATCATTTCTCAGTCTGTGTATACCACTGGAATGTATTCCCTTGTCTCTACACACAGCTAGAATCCACAGGAGCGAGAGAGAATCCCAACTTCAGCTTGGAGCTCCAGCTGGTTTCCATGGCAACTTGAACTAAGAGAAAGAGCAAGGGGGCAGCAGAGGGTGAAGACTGACTGGGTTCTGGTCTATCTCGTAATGACATGCCGTCAAAATAAAACCTGGTCATATTGGCTGGCTCCGTCACTCAGGAAAACATAGGGTCAAGTACTTAAAGCGCGGGGCATATTCATAGAGATGACAGCTGTGACTGGCATGATTTCTTCTAGTTTGATGTATTTGCCTTTCTTGCTTTTCTTTTTTATTTCTCTACAAATTAATGACATCCTAAAAAATGGATTAACCATGCCATAACATTGTCATCCCTAAAAAGTTTTTTGGCAACTCTGACTGCTGAGTTTGAATGGAGAGAGATAGAAAGATTGAGTGATTCCTGTCGAAAGAAAGCCAGAAGCACACCAGAGTGAAATTAGGTAGTAAAAGTCCTTCAACTGTCTTACGAACCTCAAACCTCGTTCTTCAGATTTTCTTGAATAAAACCAAAAGCCAAAAGCCAAAAGCCAGCATTGTACATTTACTTACAAGCTACTGTCTAGACACACAGCATACTGTTTATCTTATAAACTTTCACGGAATATTAGCTCAGTTGGTGATTAGATACAGCCGCCAAACCGCAGCTGTAAGTTGTTGGAAACTTGTGGAGAAAAATTTGGTGAGCAGAGAGAAATAGCCTACAAGCTACTCACTGCGCTCATTTATTTTTTCAAAACAAGGGTGGGTGTGAAAAAATCTCACCGTGTCAATTTTCCTGAATGCAATATATAGTTCACGAAGAATACAAATGAGTGACCAGCCTCTTTCTTGTGTTTGTTTATTTGAAAACTGATTCTGACATGTTGAGAAGGATTGGATTTTTACAGATCGTGTTGGTGTATTCCTTTTCTCCTGGGTGCTGCCATTTTGTGGAGTGGCCATCTCGTGTTTCGCTCAGAACGAGGGTTTCGGTTTGTTAATGTGCATTACAGACTTGTACAGATGCACATTTCACTTGATCTATGCTTCTGTTTGTTACAGTCATACATGACCATGTTCGGGGCAAAAATCCCACACACNAGACACAGATTATTAAGGATTAACTGATGGACATCAGCAACTGATACGTGTCTATAAAATTAATGAACCATTCCATCTCCTCCTCTATTTACCACAAATATCATTCCTCCACGCAGAAAAAAATTCGAAGAAAGAAAAAAATATCTACGTTATCTAAGAAGTTTTTAGTGCTCTCCCCTGTGGCCAATTTCCAGAAAGAATTCAACCCCTGACCATCAGTCAGATATTGAATGGAAGCAGACGACACTTGGGGGAACACCTTCACAATGCCAAGTAACCAGAACACCCCAGTGCAAATTCAGTTCCTTCATTTCAATCTTTACAGGGAGCTACTGTTAAAATTCTATTTTATTGATCAATGAGTGTTCTAGTTTGGACAGGAGTTACCTCCTGATTCTGATTCACAATCATATGGTTTGTAATAATTAAACATAGTTAATGAATTAATTCTCAAATTGGTATGTAAATTATAAACAGCATAACTTCAATAAATTTAGCATTTATGAAGGTGCTAAAGCTTCCAGGAGAAAAAAACTGAGCTAGATATGTTTCAAATATTGTTATTCATCTCTGTATTCTGCAATTACATAAAATTCCAAGAATGGAAGACTTTTTTATTTTCAAACATTCAGCTTATATTATGATTATCTCAGGCAAATCATTTCTCAGTCTGTGTATACCACTGGAATGTATTCCCTTGTCTCTACACACAGCTAGAATCCACAGGAGCGAGAGAGAATCCCAACTTCAGCTTGGAGCTCCAGCTGGTTTCCATGGCAACTTGAACTAAGAGAAAGAGCAAGGGGGCAGCAGAGGGTGAAGACTGACTGGGTTCTGGTCTATCTCGTAATGACATGCCGTCAAA